TAGAATCAGCGCATAAAGGGCGTGAACACAAAGCGTGGACAGATCAGAATCAGCGAGCTGTCGGCTTTCAGCCCCGACTGTGAGGGGCAACAGGTGAACTCTTCTGTTTTGGAGGAATGGATGCTAACCAGAGGAGTGAGACTAAGAGGAGGAGGACAAGGACGATGAAGGCCAAGGAACGTAATCTCCGATGAGCTCAAAGCCACTTTGGTTGGCCATGTGGTCAACCATGGTCTAACAATAAGGGAGGCAAAGTGTACAGCCAAATTTGATCAGGTGCACTGTAGCATCCATCATCCAGACTTTCTGAAGTGAGAATAGGTAAGAAATCTTACAGTACTCAATGAGTACTTTACTGTAGCACAGTATTGCCTGTGGACTGTTCTGTAGAATGTGAAAGTAAAGTATGTGTCATGTATTTGGGAAATGTATTCCTATATTGTATTCCTACATAGTAGGCCTATTCATAGTATTTTACAGTATACTATTTGTATTGCAGAGCTGAAAGCTTACCAACACGAGGTGGTCGGGAATGTCTTCTGTCTCCTGAACAGGAGAATGAAATCATTAACATGCTTCTAGAAAATAATGCCATAACAGCACAGCAAATACAAAGAAAAATAATAAAAGACAACAACATGTTTCAAAATACTGATAAGGTCAGCTTATCAACACTGGAACGTGTCCTCAGAAATAATCTGAGGATGAACCAGCTCTACAGGGTGCCATTTGAACGCAATTCAGAAAGAGTCAATGAATTGCAATACATGTGGAAGTAAGTCCCATACAATCCCACAATTAATGCATACTCTCAACAGTATATAAATTACAGTACTGTACATACGCATACTCTGATTATGCTTCACAATAGTGACCACTCCAAGTCTGTATTACGTATCATGTTTGTTTCAGAGTCGGTAACTGGTTCACTGTCCACCCACACTTTTTAGTTGTTTATCTCCCTCCATATTCTCCATTCCTCAAGCCCATTATAAGGAATCTTTTTCTGCCTGGAGATGGAAAGTGTATGACCGAAATCCACACACACATATACCCCTTCCCAAGCTATGGAAGATGCATGTGAAGATATAGCAGTTGATGCTATT